CCAGGTCCCAGATGAATCTCAGGACTCCTTCTCAAGGCTCCTGGGCACAGACTGCAAGGCCACGACCTGAAGCCCTCGGCATCTCCTTTCTACTCATCCTTTTCACCCATGTTCACACGCCTGCCTTAGATCCTACTGGATTCTCACCATGGCTCAGCTGTCCCAGCACCCCCTCCCCCATGACCTGACCACATAAGGGTTCTCCCAGACAGTCTCTTCCTACCTCTGCTTATCACAACCCTGCCTGTCTTCCCTGCCCATCTCTCATCCCCATCAGCAGGGTCTTCTCCTCTGTCCTGACTCCTAGCCCTGAGGCAGAATTGGATGGGTCTTGCTCCTGTCCGCCCTTCCAATGTTGGTTTGGAAGGTCGTTACACATTGATGGTAGTTATAAATTTACAATAATGCTTTAAACTTCTGAGTAGATTCATGGTCATCTCTTTGTCCACACATTCTAGTTATCCTAGCCCTCCTACATTGAGAAGGAGCAGGAACCCATTTCTGCCAGCTTGTCCCTATCTCTTAAAGGTCCCAGGTGAGGAGCCAGTGTTGAAACCACAAGCCCCTGGGATACACTCTCATTCAGACTTTGGTACCTATGTTGATGGTTTTCGGAGGGGGGTTATTGAATGGCAATCAGGATGAGATGATGGCATTGGGGTAGGACCAGGCCCGGTGGGGTCTTTATAAAGTGGAAGAGAGACCTGAGCTGAGATATGCTTGCTCGCCTGTGGTGCCATGCCTTATGCCATGCAATGATGCAGTCCTTGGTCTAACTGAGGTGCCATGCTCTTGGCTTCTGCAGCCTCCAGGACTCTGAGCCAAATAAACTTGCATTATTGTCTCTTTTCTCTTAATTTCTCTTTATAGAAAGAATGAAGATAATTTTATTTGGATTTGAAAGACAAAATGATAGGGGAGGTGAAATGGAGCTCTCAGCAGGTGCCAGGAGAAAGATGGAGAAAGGGAGAAAAGGTGTGTTCTTCAAGATAGAGCTGGAGCAAGCACCTGCACGGAAATGGAGTGGGGAGAAGGGGATGGGGGGGGCCGAGAATGTGCCCTGGGTGTCAGGGCAGATGGACTTAGAGCTTCAGCCAATGTTTGGAGAAAGGACAAAACTTTTGGGAGGTAGAATTTCAGAAAGCGGGCACATTTGTCACTGAACCTGCAGAAGACTGCCAACCTCTGTTCTTTGTAAATTAAAGCAGGGATCTTGTGATAGCAACTGAGAAAGGACCAAGATGTGCGGCCTTTAGCCACTGGGTTGGGTGATGGATTGTAACTGCTCAGGGAGAACACAGCGAGGACAACCATTCTAGTCACGGCCGGTCTGCAGGTGAGATGTAAGGGGAACAGTCTCCACCCTTTCTTCACATCCTCCCCTTTCCCAATCCTACTTATCTGAACCTAGGCAGCTTGCAAGAGAGAGAAGACTGGCTACATATATGGAGGGAGCTCAGGAGAGGCATGCTATCAAACTGGCCAAGACAGTCCCAAGCCCACAGAGCTACCCGCCAGGTCTTTGAGAGCTAACCACACACCATTCCGCAGAGCGGGGGGAGGTCTGTTAAAACCCCATCTAGCAAGCGGATGAGTTTAGGAACTGAGACATCTTGGTGCAGGACACACTCAGGGTGGCCAGTGTGCTCTGAGCACCAACCACTGAGGAGCTCACTACGTGTTGTGGAGGATGCAGAGACCTAGAAGCTGCACCGAGCAGAGCTCAGGTCAAAGGGCCAACTCCTAGAGAAGGGATGGAGACCGGATGAGTCCACCAGCTTCAGACATGTGTTCTCTGTTGTTCTTTTCGCCTCTTGGCACTGGACGAGCCAGAAGAGGTCAGCCAAGTGGCACCAAGAACTGTCACTCTTGACAGACCCACTCTAAAGATAAGTCATACCCAGTTCAGGTATCTCTTGGAACCCTAGACCTCCTGGACATCTGGGGAGATTCATCTCACGGAACTGAGTGTTTCTGGCACTGGCTGGAGCCTGGCAGGATCATGCAGTGGGTAACTGGTACTCAGACCTGGCAGAACAAGATCCTTTACTAGTTGGGAGGCCAGGGTGTGACTCCTTGCCATTCTATGCCTCAGTTTCCCCTGTAGGTTAATAAGCCTACCTCACAGGGTTATTCCTAAGGCTCAGATGTGAAGTAAGGTCAGCAATACAGTTCCAGTGAGGACTGTCTTCCTCCTCTCATAGTACCCAGAGCCCAGGCCTGCTTCCTGACTCCCCTCTAAATACATGGGCACGAATAACAGCATCTCTGCGCTAGGACTTTCCCAGGTTGGGCTAACTGGAGTCCCTGAGAATTTGTTGTGGTCAATGGTACTCGTCCCCACTCCACCCCACTCCTGAGAGATGTTAGTCCTGTCACTTTGACACACCACAAGAACTTCTAGAAATGTCAGTGATACCTCCTCACCAGTGGCCTTCCCAAAGGGCAGCCATTGTGTTCTCGGGGTACTGGTTTCCTCCAGCTCAGACAGCCATGGTATGAGCTGGGCTCAAGTAAGTGTCAAGCATGAGGTCTGCCCACCCCATCATGAATCTCTGTCCTCCGGGGCAGGAGATGGCTGGTTGTTTGGGTGGTCAAGACTCTTGTAACATTAGAGTCTTCCTACCTACAAGGTGAGAGAGACTTCCTGGCTGCTGGGAGAGACGACAAAGGGAGGCACGGTGTCTCTTGTCTGGACATATCTGTCTATCTCTCCGGAGGTTGACTGTACCAGCTGTTCTGTCTCCTTGCATGGCTCTAGCTCTGGGGCCTTTGGAGACATAAAGACCACTGAGAACTTAACCAGGGCTCAAACACACGTTCCTTCCAGCCAGTGTCCTCAGAAACTGGACACACTCCCCGGCACTGTAAGACTGGTAGAGGCGTTCCTTCCGGTTTGCCCAGTTGCCATGCTGAGGACCCACAAACACAAGGCAAGGACTCCTCCCTCCAGGCGCTTCCCAGAAACTGCCACATCAATATGGGGCCTGCCATTTCCTCCCAGTCAGTGGAGGTGAATTTGAAAAGACAAAGAAGCCAGCCCAAGGGTAGGGCATTTTCTGTGTGGGGCAGCCACAGAATTCCTGGTCCTCTGGCTTCACAGCACGTGTGGCCTGAGGGTCACAGTTCCCTGTCTCCTGCGGCTGACAGCTTTTGTACACACGCCCCTCATCCAGGCTCCACATCCACACTCACAGGATTTCGGGCTCTCTAGAAACGTGTGAAAAGGGCTCACGTTTTTCTGTGATATGCCTTTCTCTGCCCATTGCCTGGCACCGTACCTAGATCCTGACTGGGCACCCACAGGGCATTTGTTGACTGGTGTAGCAAAGAGGCAGAAGGATGAATCTCTATTTTAGAAGGGAGTCTCCCCCAGGCTGCTTTCCAGACAGGGTCCTGCTACAACCCAGTACTTTAAGTCCCACCAAGGCTGGTGTAGACACGGACAGCTTCCCTTGGGGAGGCTGCAGACTGGACCTGACCAACAGCACCTCAAGAGTCAAGTACACTTTGAGGGACCCACGCTGGAAAAGCTCAAGGCCAGGACCCCAGTAGTTGCACACTAGCCTGGTCTCTGCAGAACATACATTTGCCAAGTGAGAAGCAGGTGGACCGATGGGACTCCTCACACACACAGGCCCCCAAGGCCTGCAACGTGGGGCCCGGGTGTCGTTTGAAGTGCAGGGTGGAAGCTTATTCTTGGCACTGAAGGGAGTTGGGGGCTGTTGTTCTGAGGGGGAGGAGAAACTACAAGAAACAAGAAACCCTGACGCGACAGATAGCGGGACAGCTGTGGACCGAACTTGGTGTTCCTGCGCTGCGATGTAGATGTATTAATTTCCATAAATGCTAATAGTCCATCTCTCCAAGAGCTATTACTTATGTCATCTTCCTTTGGATGTGGTTCAACACAGGGCAGACAAATGGAATGGAGCAAGAGGCAGCCCCCCACTGCTGGGTCCTTGGCTCCCGCCCCTCTTCCAAATGAGCAGTTCAAGTCTGGTTTCTGATGTGGCTCTCATACCTTCGGAGCCCAGATCACCTGCCTTTAAGACAGGTCCCTTTCACATCAATAAGCAAGGAAAGTTACCAACCCCAAAAACGCTGAATCACAAAGTGAGACTGAACAGTAAGAGGGGGATGGGTGAAGAGGGAGATGGTAACTGGGAAGCAGGCAGCAAGGGTGCTGGAAGGCATCCTGCGGGAGACCCCAGGCCATGTGCCAGGAGAAGCAAGCTGGGTGTGCCAGAGGGGAGGGAGGGAGGGCGGGCAGGTGGGTAGGTATACCTTGCTGCAGATACTGCAGCAGGCAGCAGTGCAGCAGTTGGGTTCCGCATCCTGCAGCAGCAGCAGGTAGGGAATAGGGAATGTGCTTAGTGCCAGGGTCTGGCCATAGGGAGAGAAGCTGAGGGTGGGGGTAGAGGTCTAGAGACAGAGGCAAGGGGACAAGGCGTAGATTCAACGAGTGTCAAGGTGCTGGGGAGCATCGCAAAACAGAGCATTGCGGTGGTGATGGTGGTGGTGGCAGCGGCGGCTGGCGGGGATGGAAGGGGCTGGGAACAGAATGGGTGGGAAGCTGGGGTCAAGATGAAAGGGGCACCCGGCAGGCAGCAAGGACGAAGAATGAGTCTAGAGGAGCAACAAGGAGAGGGATGGAGAAGACAGCTACTAGGAGTGCGCAGAGGCCGGGAGAGAGGATGAGAAGCAGGGAGGCAAGGGCAAGGAGAGAATGCGGGGCGCGAGGGGGTAGAGCTGGGGATGAAGTTTGGGGTTGGGGTCCGGGATGTCGACTGAAAGGTGGGGCAGGATGACAGGGAAGCAGAGAGGGAGGGGTGGGGGCAGGGAGACTGTGGAGAAGGAGGTGGGGAGGCTAGAGAGGAGGTGAGAACCGCGGCGGGGGCAGGGATGCAGGGCTGGGGAAGATGAGATGGAGAGGGACCGCGGTACCCGCGATAGCGCGGCCTCGCAGGTGCCCGCCGGGGTCTCCCAGCTGTACTCACCTGGGGGCCTCCAGCTCCGGATCCCGCGCCCCGCTCCGGATCTTCCTTCCCGCCCTGCCCTTGCGACTTGAGCGCCCCCGAATCCCGCTCGCTCCCGCAGGTTCCGCCCGCAGCATCTTTACCTCGTGGGACGCCCGCGGCCACGCCCCTAGCAGCCTATCATTGGCTCTGATTCACGCCAGTCACAGTCTCATTGGCGGAGGCCGTTGAAATCCATGCAAATCATGCTGCTCCCGCCGGCGCGCCGATTGGCTGGCGCGCGCGGGGTTCGGGTCCCTGGACTCGGGTTCTCATTGGCTGCGCGGCCTTGACGGAGACAGTGACGCGATGCTGGTTCTGTGCTGAGGGCTCGGTGTCCCGCAGGCCGGGGCTCCTCGCGTGGGGTGGCGGTGGATTGGGCGCCCCCCTCGGCCAGTGCTGAACCCACGAGACCCTGGGTTCCTCTGGGCACCGGTCCGCCGGATCGCTGGATCCACGGTGCGGGACGTCCTTGGAAGCGTGGATCCGGTGCCGGTCTCCTAGGTAACGCGCCAGCGGTGGACTGAACCAAATCCGGGGGAAATGTGCGAGTTTTAGAGGATCGGGTGGCAGCAGAGCTCGAAGAGACCTCAGGGTCTCGGGCGGAGCTGTACGTATAGCATGTTATTGGCGATCTGGTGTTTTCAGGGCACGGCACGGAGCACAGGGCTGGGCCTAGGTCGCGTGGGTTTCACCCTCTCCCCCTTGCGTCGCTATTGGTGCATCCCGGTTGCCTGCAGAAGTTGGGCGTCGGGGTCTCCTTCGGTTAGTGCTCAGTTTTCTGACGTGGCTCCCGCAAAAGTCCGGGGCCGAAACGGATGCGGTGAGCTCTCCAGAGCCTCAAAGATACCTACGGCCTGGTGTGCGTGCATCTTTTCCAGCCCTAGTGCGTGCAGTTCGCTCAGGTTCTTGCGGCCCTCGATGCACTGTGAGGTCCCTGGTCCTATCCTTGTCCAGCCCTCGGGGCGCAGGATCGACCGTCCTTCCTTTATTGCTCGGAATGCAACCCACTTTCTTGTCTGGGTTCCCGGTGGGTCTAGTCTTGCCTTGGTCTGGGGAGATGCGCTCGCGGCTCGCGTGGAAGTTTGCACTGAAACCAGCTTTGCGGGTTTAGGGAATGGTCCAATCCTGGTCTCATTTGCAGCTCAGCCATGCAGCTTCCAGGGGCCACAATTCTTTCTGTGCCGCAAACTGCCCTAGCACTATTTCGTTGTAATGTTTGTACCCAGGGATCTTTGGGACTATCTACTTTGGTCAAGACCACGTCTTTAGTCCCATAGCAGAGGGTGAATGAAGGCATAGCAGACATCTCTTAATTAAATTTCTATAGATAAGCCCTCCACGCCCCATCTCCCCCACTCCCAACTGGTGGAGGTAAATCTCAGGTCATCATTTCTGGGGAGCAGGCTTCCCCGAGCCTGGCACCACCATTTGTGGAATGTCACCTATATCAGAGTCTTGGTCATGATCCATGCTATGGGATGCACCCGCTTGCCCCTCCTGTGTTTCTTCCTTACTACTTACTTACTTAATATTGTTGGAGATGACATTCGTCTCTTTGCTTCTGGAATACACCGGGTGTTTGGCAAACATTTATTGACTAGACCTGCAGAAATGAAGGCCTTAAGACTCCATATCAAGCTCTCATCTTGTAGACTGGAAGCAGGCAGGGAAGGTAAGGATCTTGGCTGAAGTTAAGGAGAAAAAAAAAAACCTGGCTCTTATCTTTGGACATCTCTACCAGGAGAGCTCTTGCTGGCCCTTTCTGGACATCTCATCCCCATTTGGCTTCCTGAATGGGAAGAGGAGAGCAGCCGGGTGTGAGTTAGTCTCTGTTAGCTGGGAACTCACCTGTTGAAGCCCGGCTCCTCACAGGTAAGGTGGGCTGTGATGACACTCCCTGCCTTCCAGTTGCTGGATCAGTACATTGGGAGTGCTGTGCCTGACCCGGCTCAGGCTTGGATAGAAGCCGGCCCGTCTTCTTCCTGTCTTCTTTAGAGAGCCTTTGGTCCCTTTCCTTGGGTTCAAAGCATGGAATCTGCCCAGTTTTCTTTCTAATGTTTATTCTTCCCAAAGGTCTTTTGGTTCTTCTTCCAGACCTTTCTGTTGCTGGAGTTTGTAGGGTGTGGGCCTGGTTCTGGTAACCCCAATGTGTGGTCTTTGCCCCCTGTCCTCAGTACACTGGTTAAAGAGACAGATAAATGTGAAAAGTGGACAAAGAGATTTATTCGTTTGGCCACATTGAGAAGAGGAACATGTAAAAGGGTCCTTGTAGCACAATTAATAAAAACCCAGAGACAGAAACTAGGGTTCAGCCTGGAGGTCAGAAAAGCAAAACAGCCAGCCACTGGCTCTTACCTCTACCTCAGTCCGAGATGGCGATCCTGCCTTCAGGAATCTCAGAATGAGACTGTATGAGAGCTGTCTCCTGTCTTATATTCCTCTATAGTGCTGGGATTATTGGTGTGCACCACTACTGCCTGGTTTCTATGGCAACTAGTGTGGCTATGGGGATTAAAGATGTGTGTTACTATTGCCTGGTCTGTAATGCTGATCAGTGTGGCTGTTTTATTCAAGCTTTACTTATTAAAATATAAATGAAATATCACAACAGGTCTCATACCAGGATTTTTTTTTTTTTTGAGCCACCAACCAGCTCCCAAATCATGATGTGGAGACTTCTTATTAGTTATGAAGGCTTGGCCTAGCTTAGGCTCATTGCTTGCTAGCTCTTTTGACTTAAATTACCCTGTTTCTTTTCATCTACTTTTTGCCTCGGGGCTTTTTACCTTTCTATTCTGTGGCTGACGGACGGCTGCCTGGCTTCTGGCCCCAGATGTGTCCCTGTTTCTCTCTTGTTTCCTTCTCTTGTTCTTCTATTTCTTTTGAGTCTAGATTTCTTCTCCTACTTATTTTCTTTGCCCTCCAGCCCCACCTGTCCCTCTCCTGCCTAGCTATTGGCTGTTCAGCTAATAGCTGCCTCAGGCAGGCAAGGTGAAACAAATGCAGCACACATTTACATAAATAAACAAATGTAACACATCTCTGCCCAGTTAAAGTAATATTGCGCAATAGGGGCCAGCACCCCCAAGTCCGTCTTAGGAACACTAGCATGAAGTTTAGGCACAAACAAGGCAGGTGGTGTGCATAACTAAGCAGTCCTTGTTGGACGTGGTCCTGTCCATCACCAGCCCATTCCTGGCTCTGCTCCAGTCTCTCCTGCAGGGTGGTCTGATCAGTCAGAACTGTGTGGCATCTTCTCAAGTTCCTCTCTCTGCACCCCCTCCTCCCAGTATGGGATTCCTGGGGAGATTTTAATTCTTTGGGGTCATGACATGTCTCTTTAGACTCTCTTCTCTGCTAGGGAGTTTACATTTCTTCCAGTCACTGACAGATTCTCTCCGAGGACTAGTGCTGACTCAGGGAGCTCACAGTCTCTCAGGACCGCACTGACCGCTCAGCCCTGGATAATGTTTCTGCAGAGTGCTGGGGGGGAGGCCGGCCCTTCGGATCTCCAGGGTGAACCTGACAGGCAGTAGGGGCAGCAAGGGGCTTGTGGGGTGAGGACACTGGCCTGAGCAGGGCCAGGGGCTGTGTGGGGGCTTGGGCCAGGAGGGCCCCCTCCCCACAAATGCTCCCAGCACTGTCAGGTGTGGGTTCTCAATGAGTCCATCTTGCCTGTTTGACCTGGAGAACAGCGACTAGCATCTCTTCAGGAAGAAGACCAGCCAGCTCCCCTCCACTGCAGCACCCTTTGGTTTTGTGACTCCTATGCTCTCCTGTGTAATGGCTGCCAAGGCTCCAAGAAGGACAGTCCTCTTCTGCCAGGGGCTGGTCAGGGAGCAATGGCCACAAGATAGGCTGCAAGGGCTGTGACCAGCAGAAACACAGGGGCTGTGCAAGCCTGGAGCTAGACACAGGGCCATCCAGGAGCCCCTCACTCCCGGTAGGAGGTGGCCCTGGAGTAAGTGTTGGTCATGCCTCTTTCTCTAGTGGGCAACTCTATGAGCTTCCCATGGCTGCTGTCACTAAATGGCACAGACTCTGTAGCTTGGACCAACAAACACTGATTCTTTTCCGGTTCTGACCATCAGACATCTAAAATCCCTCTCATTGGCTGAGATCAAGGTGTGGGCAGGGCAGGCCCTCTGGGGACCCTCAGCTGAGGATGTCATTTCTAGCCCCTGGAGAACCCTGCATCCCTTGGTACCTAGAGACCTTGTCCTCGCCGTGGTCCCTGATTTTCTTTCTAAGCCTTCTTACCTGCCTCTCACAGGGACCCGTGTATGCTCCAGCCTCTCCTGTTGTTCCAGTACAACCTCCCCGCTCCTGTGCAAAATCCTGTTTGCCGTGAAAAGTCACATTTCCAGGGTCCGGGATCAGGGTGAGAGCGTTTTAGACTGTTATTCAGCTTGTCAGGAAATCTGACTCAGCGAGGGGACAGGAGCTTCCAGGGGCTCTTGTTGGTTTGTGTCATTCACCACAGTGGATAATGGGGGCATTACTTTCTGTCTGCTGTCTTCAGCCACCCCCACCTTGGTTCTGTTAGTCTGCCTGGGCCTGCTTCTGCACCAGGATTTCCCTGTGGTAGCTGAGTGTCTCCTGGGATTCTGGGCTGGGTAGTCTTGGGCGGCTTCAGGCTGTGCAAGAGCCCCAGTCCGACCGAGTCTCCCAAGGGAAACCACCTATGGCTCTATCTGGCTGGACTGGGGGCAGCCCTCCTCAGGAATGGAACTGGGTTCTCACAGAGAGCAGGGGAAGCAGGGCATCCTGGTAGCCTGCCACACCCGCAGGGAGACAGAGCCACATGGGTGGCTTTGGACCACTGAGGGGGCACCTGGTTTGTAGGTGTGTTCCAGGGGAGGCTAGGATGTAACCGGGGACCCTGAGGTGTGTGTGTGTGTGTGTGTGTGTGTGTGTGTGTGTGTACGCTCGCGCACGCGTGTGCGGGGTCAGGTTGATGGTCTTGTCATGCACCCTGAGCATGGAGGGGTGACCCCTTGAAATGGCCCTGCACGTTTACCTTTAGAAGAAGTCCATGAGATCCTGACAGGCTTTAGTGCGTGTGATTTCTGTCTGTCCAGGTTCACTATGTGAGAGGTCACATCCCAGGAGCGTCAAG